GGAGAGAGAGGGAGAAGAGGAAAGTCAAGAATGTAGGACTGAGAGTGGCAACTCTAAGGGGACGATGACAGGCAGAGGTAGAGAGCTGGCTGGCATGATGCAGAGAAGGAAGGTAGATGTTTTATGTGTCCAAGAGACCAAGAGGAAGGGCAGCAAGGCTCACAGCATTGGAGCAGGGTTCAAACTGTTTTACCATGGTGTGGATAGAAAGAGAAATGGAGTAGTTGTGGTCCTGAAGGAGGAGTTGGCAAAGAATGTAGTAGAGGTGAAAAGAGTGTCAGATAGGGTGATGTGCCTGAAGCTAGAAGTAGAAGGTTTGATGCTAAATGTTGTCAGTGGTTATGCTCCACAGGTTGGATGTGATGAGGAGAAGAAAGATGCATTTTGAAGGATCTGTATGAAGTTACAGAGAGTATTCCCAGGGAGGAGAGAGTGGTGATTGGAGCAGACCTGAATGGACATGTTGGTGAAGGAAACAGAGGGGATGAGGAAGTGATGGGTAGGTTTGGTGCCAAGGAAAGAAACCAGGAAAGACAGATGGTGGTGGATTTTGCCAAAATAATTGAAATGGCTGTAGTTAACACCCATTTCCAAAAGAGGGAGGGACATAGAGTGACCTATAAGCGTGGAGGAAGGAGTACGTAGGTCGACTACATTCTGTGTACAAGAGGAAACCTGAGGGAGATTGGGGACTGTAAGGTTGTGGCAGGGGAGAGCGTGGCCAGAATGACTATTGTTGTGAAGAAGAGAAAAAGAGTAAAATCAGAGAAGAAGACCAAATGGTGGAAGATGAAGAATGTGAGAAATTCAGAGAGGAGCTGTTATAGGTTCTGGGTGGTAAGAAAGAGCTTCCAGATGACTGGACTACAACAGCAACAGTAATTAGAGAGACTAGTAGGAAGATACTTGATATGTCATCTGGACAGAGAATGGATAATAAGGAAACCTGGTGGTGGAATAGTGAAGGGCAGGAAGCTATTCAAAGAAAAAGGTTAGGATGGAAGAGAGCAGACAGGAATATAAGGAGATGCAATGTAGAGCAAAGAGGGAGGTGGCAAAAGAAAAGCAGAAGGCATGTGGTGAGTTGTATGGGAGACTGGACAGTAAAGGGGGCGAGAAGGACTTGTACTGATTGGCAAGACAGAGGGATCAGGCTGGAAAGGATGTGCAGCAGGTTAGGCTTATTAAAGATAAGAATGATAATGTTTTAACAAGTGAGGAGAGTGTGACGGGAAGATGGAAGGAGTACTTTGAGGAGCTAATAAATGAAGAGAATGAAAGAAAAAAAAGAGTACAGATTATAGAAACTGTGGACCAGGAAGTGGGAATGATCATTGAGGGTGAAGTCCAAAAAGCTCTGAAAAGAATGAAGAAGGGGAAGGCAGTGGGACCTGATGACATACCAGTGGAAGTTTGGAAATGTCTTGGAGAGATGGCAGTGAGGTTTTTGACTCAAATATTCAATGACATATTTGAGGGTGAGAAAATGCCTCAGGAATGGAGAAGTGTTCTGGTGCCCATTTTTAAGAACAAAGATGATGTACAGAGTTGTAGCAACTACAGGGGAATTAAGTTGATGAGTCACACGATGAAGATCTGGGAGAGAGTTGTGGAAGCTAGACTTAGATGAGAGGTGACAATCTGTGAGCATCAGCATGGTTTCATGCCAAGAAAGAGTACCAGAGAATGCTGATGGAGAAGTACAGAGAGGGTCAGAAAGAACTCCATTTTTTCTTTGTGGATTTAGAAAAAGCATCTGACAGAGTGCCGAGGGAGGAGGTGTGGTATTGCATGAGGAAATCTGGAGTGGCAGAGAAGTACGTTAGACTGGTACAGGACATGTATGAAGACAGCAGGACAGTGGTGAGATGTGCTGTAGGAGTGACAGATAGCTTCAAGGTGAAGGTGGGAGTGCATCAAGGATTGACTCTGAGCCCCTTCTTGTTTGCTCTGGTGATGGGCCGACTAACTGTTGAGGTCAGGCAAGACTATGTTTGCAGATGACATTGTGATCTGTGGTGAGATCAAGGAACAGGTGGAAGGGAACTTGGAGAGGTGGAGGTATGCAATTGAATGAAGAGGAAGGAAAGTCAGCTGTAATAAGACAGAGTACATGTGAATGAGAGGGAGGAGGTGGAACAGTGAGGCTACAAGGAGCAGAGGTCACAAAGGTGCAGGACTTCATGTACTTGGGGTCCACTGTCCAGGAAAACAGGGAGTGTGGTAAAAAGGTGAAAAAGAGAGTCCAGGCAGGATGGAGTGGATGGAGAAAAGTTTCATGAGTGATTTTCAACTAAAGGGTGTCAGCAAAGGTCAAAGAAAAAGTTTACAAGACAGTGGTGAGACCAGCTTTGTTGTCTGGTCTGGAGACAGTGGCATTGACAAAAAGGCAGGAAAAAGAACTGGAAGTGGCAGAAATGAAGATGTTGAGGTTCTCCTTAGGAGTGACAAGGATGGATAAGATTAGGAATGTGATCCTAAAATCTTGACTAGGATGCCAAAATGACTAGGGCTGGCACTGTGTGCCCCATGTAAAAAGCTTTGGCCACCCCTAACAAAAAGTTTGACACCGCCCCTGTTCATGTTCAAAATAACAGCATTTCTTTTTTTAACATGTTGAATGTCTTCGCTTTAAAACTTGCATTATGGCTTAGTTCAACTCAGCATCTTTTTTCTGTTTGTTTTTTATTGTTTTATTTAGATTGTTTTTTTTTTTTCTTCAGCTTCTTGTTCCATTACTTGGGCTACATTAATAAGCTTTTTCATATCAGACCAATTTGTTTGTCAATTTCAAGATTGCAACCACTTCCTCAATCATGATTAAAAGATAAAAAAAGAACAAAAAACCCCACAAATGTAAACCCAACAAGTGCAAAACCATGTTAAGCTTTGCATTTTATATTAGATTACCAGTACTTAAGACTTTTTTATTTTTTTGCGTTGATTATATCATTTAAGTCAGGGGTGTCCAGCCCTGGTTCTTGAGGGTCACTTGAACCAGTGAGCGATGAACAAGCTTCTTGAAGAGGTCATTCAGCCAATTAATCGGGTGAGTTGAAGCAGGGAAACAAGTAAAAACTGCACAAAAGTGACACTCAAGGACCAGGCGCTCTGATTTAAAGGTAACTAGTAACAGTATATTAGCTACCCAAAAAACCTGTAGATATAATCACTAATAAAAACCAAAATCTGGCTGAGTAAAAACGTGCTGTAATATACTGTACATGTTTTTAAATCCTGCTTGTTTTTTTTTACCCTGTCTTCAAATCCTTGAGTGAAACAAACAATAAAAAACTTTCCTCTGTACATATTGTCAAAGCAAAAATAAATTCAGAGCATTTAAAAATATATATTTTTCTCATTTTGAAATGCACCTTCAACATAAAACTGTTGTCAGTCACTTCAACAAAAAAAAAAACATATTTTCACCCACCATTTATAATTCTGCATCTCTTGCTTTAAAAGTGAGTATTTGAGTAAAGATCCAGACAGAAAGAATGTGCACAGGCCGTGCTCTACTTCACACGTGTTTACAGAGCTCCACCGCACTTTCACTCCGTGAGGCCCACAGCTCGAGCAGACGCCACTGAGAAACAGAGGGTTAAGACCAGGATTGTGAGAAAACAAATAGTCTGATCAGAGGCCGCATTGGCACCGGTCTCTTCCCAAACTGACCTTGAGTGTGCAGGCCCTTGGCAGGTGGACAGACAGGCGGTATTTGAGACTCCAGTGAAGGAGAAGCAGCCAACTGGAGTAACAAAGAGGTTATTGTGAGCTGAGTTGCCTGGCTGAAGCCTCAGTGGAGCTGGAAACCAAGGTGGTTGAGGTGGCCTCTTTCTGGGCCCCGACAGGACCGTTTTCTGCAGTGATGCACTGCTGGAAATGGGTCAGGCAAAAACAAAGGCCAAATCGAGCGCAAACTCAGCAACGATCAAACACAAAGACACACAAACAGTGAAGTCTGGGCACAGGGAACAGGAAGACAGAAATCTTTGTGCACAAACGGAGCATCTTGTGCAGTTTGAATGCCTGGAACTTCCACACGCCACCAAATGCTGAAGCTCCCAGGATGGAAAGTGGAACATCTTCATCTACAGAAGTCCAAGTCACTTTTTATTTTTTATGTTCGTTTTTTTTTTTTTTTTTTTTGTGGTTTCATGTGCTTTTAGAAGTTGGACTGTTTCAAACCTTTAAAAATGAAGAGCTATATAAAATAAATAAAATCCAGAACATTTAAAATAAATAGGCGGAGGCAGTGTCTGTGCTGGCCAGAGGGCGGCAGCATCCTCATTCCCGGCAGATGAGCATCATGCAGCATCCATTTTACTTCTAATTCTTTGCAGCTCTTTAGCTGCAAAATGATTGCCAGCTATACAAGCAGACAGCAGACAGTTCATCAGTTATTGATGTGGGCACTTTAAAAAGGAAAAACGGCTGCCACGTTTCATAAGGCGAATAAAAGCACAATTAAAAAAAAACTGAAGAAGTTTGAGGAATGTTAAGAGTGGGAGAGTAAAACCTCCTTCGGTGGCAGTCTCACGCTCAGACCTGAAGCATGTTTGGAAATTACATAAAGTTTTGTAGTTTGAGTTTGTTCTGGGATGCTGTGCTCTCATGCAATGCAGAGCACGAGAGCATCACACCTGGTTACACCTGTATCGTGAGCTGCGTGTTATTAAAGCAAAATACAAAATTGATTTTTTTTTTTAAACTACAGTAGTTACAGGGAAAAAAAACCATTCCTGTGGGCGCCATGTGTGGAGGATAAGCAGACCGTGAGGCTACGCTTTACATCTCAGCTGGTACCTTGTCAGAACATCATGTTTGATCCAAACTGAGCATGCCTGGGGTTTGTCCTCCCACCCACAGCCGCAGCAGGGAACAGTCAGCTAAAATGCAGCACTTTACAGAAATAAAACAAACTTTCAGACCTCGTCCCATGACTCTGGGGAGTAAACTGAGAGAGAGAACTGCGATGAAGACAAAACGGACATCTTGGCCTTGGTAAATACTTTATATGCAACTGTGTTCTGATCTTTGCAAACACTGTATAGAAAACACTTACGGTAACATTGTTTGAACAGTTAAAGCGTGTCTGAGCTGTAAAACAGACATGGCACAGTAATCTACAGCTTTACAAACATCCTCCCCGGTTTCTGGCCTTCATCTTCACAAAACACTTCCACATTCAGTTCTATCCAAACACACACACGCAGGTCCGCAGCCACTGCTGTCAGGCTCTCCGGTTGTTATTCACAGTAGCTTTCATCACACTGTTTCAGCATCACATGATGGTTCTGAATATTTATTTTATAATGTAAAATAGCTATCACAATTTAAGCTGTAATATTTGGAAAGTGATACATTTGTATTTACATGAGCTTATTGAGCAAGACTCGAATACAATTTATGTACATACAATATGTATGGTTTGAATGTGGATATGTGTGTGTGTTGATCAGAGTCATGAGATCTTTGTGTTGGGTTGTTCTAGAGATTCAGTCTCTTCAGTACTGTCCTGATGGAGGAGCCTCGGTCTGTTAGCGGCTGATGCAGAGCAGCAGAAATGTCTGGCTCATGTCCCTTCAAGCTGTTGGTGACGGTGTGAGGAGATTCATGGAGACTGAAGCGACCGGACACGATGCGAGGCGCTCACAGCACGACGGGTGTGTGAGTCGTTCACTCGAATGGCTGTGATTTTAGGGTCCCATCACGTCAGCAAACTGGCACGTTTCAACTCGTGAGCTTGCTTCCATTTCACAAAAGGTTTCTTGGAAATAAAACAGGAAAAAATGTGGCAAATGCTCACAGTACCATGTCCGATTTCAAACTTTAAAAACAACGTTTGGGGCAAAGAGAAAAATCTGCTTCTGTCTCACACACACAATAATGCTTTCACTCACTTGTATAGAAACAGTAAAGAAGCATAAACACAGGAAACGTAAACACACACATGGCCACACATGCACGCTGCAATATGAGAGGAAAGTGAGGCACATAATCTGACAGGCTAATCACAGCCTGGATTTTGGTATATTTAAAACAAAAGTCAGATGTGTATGATTAAAGTGTCTCAAACAGCCCCTGGTTTCAGTGAGAACTTCTGCAATGTGCACTTTTTAGGACTTTTTCCTTCCATACACATATTTATATCAGATTTTTCGGTACGTATTAAATGGAGACAAAGATATTAGATCGATTAGCCACACTTAGGGAGTATTTTTTGGAAGGGGGGAGGGGCTGGATAAGGTAATCATAGTGAAAAGTAGTGCTTAAAGGCTTTACTTCCACATCCTTTTCTATTACAAAGGCTAAAGGCAAAGTCACAGAAATCCAAGTAACAGGTAAGGAAGTGATGTGCTTGAACAGTCCTGTGGACTGTGGCTTTGAACCTGAAAAACATCACAGGCATTATCACGTTTGGTCCCTACATGGCATATATTGAAAAGGTGGGTTGTGACTAATCATACTGTTTCTGAATAAAAAAGCTTAGTAACCAGAGGATTTGATATGTGCGATAGTAACAGTAGTTGAAATAAAACTATTGACACAAATCTTTCTAGGCAATTACAGTGGGCCTTGAAACCCTCCAGAGTGTCTCTTAGGAGGCATTTACTCAAAGCAGTAGCTCTTTGCTCTCACCAAATGTGTCATCTACCTTATCTTAACACTGCGGATGAGCTACGTCATATTCCTGGGCATACTGAGTATTACTGAGTCGGTAAAGTTGGTACCAAATGAGTAACAGAAAGAGACAGTTGAGGGGTAAATGAAAAAAGAGCAGGTCCTTCTACTCTCCCCATCGATTTGTGTGAACGGAGATCAGGAGCATGAATGAGCTCCGCTTCAGCCGTCGTCTGGGGTCGAGTCGTCAGGCGTGGATGAGTCCTCAGCAAAGTCGTCCGTCGACCCGCTCTTGTGAATGCGTCCGTCACTGCTCATGCTTTGGAAAGTCTTGCGGAAAGCCTCCATCATCGAGTGCGCCAGTTTCTTGGCCTCCAGCTTGCTCTCGCACTCCACGGCGTGGCAGTCCATCTGGAAGGACAGGTCGTCGTTGATCTCTCGGTAGATCCAGGCAAATATGTTGGGTCTGACGCTGTGGTCCGCTGTGCAGTAGGCGATGCGCGCCACCTGGTAGGCGTCCACGGTCACGGAGGCTTCGCCACGCTCGTCCAGGTGGTGAAGGCGCACCTGGAAGGGCCGGATTTCCAGCAGAGAGTTGTTCGAGGGGGAGGTCCCTTGCTGCTGAGCCCGAGCACGACGCTCCACCAGACCCACTACTGCTGACTCGGTGCAACCAGACAAGAACTGGGTCCCAGAGATGGACATCTTACCCAGGTAGGTCACCTGCAACGACACACAATACTATTAGAAAACATCAAAGTTCATGCACAATAATTCAGGTAAAATATCCAACAAAGTTATGTCAGGTCATCTGGACGGTTTCTTTTTTTTTTTTTGTTGTTGTTGTTGAGACATTTCATCCTTCATCCAAAGAACTTCATCAGTCCAAGGAGCCGCAACAAACTCAGTCCCACAAGCAGCACAGTCACATTCAAAGTGGGCCAACTAGTTTTCTAGTGATAAGCTGGTTTCTGGAGCCTGCTGTCTCCCCCATGGACTCCTCTGAGGCAGCCATAACTAAAGTGGTTCAAAACACCAAAGTTCATGCTCAATAATCCAGGTAGAAAATCCAACAAAGTTCAGTCAGGTCATCTGGACGGTTTCCTTTTTTTTTTTTTTTGTTGAAACATTTCATCCTTCATCCAAAGGACTTCGTCAGTCCAAGGAGCCAAAACAAACTCAGTCCCACAAGCAGCTCTCACTTTTCTACCTGGATTATTGAGCATGAACTTTGATGTTTTGAACCACTTTGGCCATAGCTGCCTCAGAGGAGTCGACGGGGAGAGGGTGGGCCCCAGAAACCATCTTATCACCATCAAACTTGTTGGCCCACTATGTGACTGTGCTGCTTGTGGGACTGAGTTTGTTATGGTTCCTCGGATTGATGAAGTCCTTTGGATGAAGGACAAAACGTCTCAACAAAAAAAAAAGAAACTATTAGAAAAGCTTTTCAGTGCTGACAGATCTCTATTAAATATAAGCTTGGCGTCAAAAACAAACTACTATAGTTTGAATCATCTTTTTCAAGTAAAACATATAAACTGAAACAATGATTAGCCATGAAAAGAGCTTTGACTAAAATAAACCATCGATCTTTGTTTACTGGATGATTGAGTCTACAAACCTTTTTTTTTTTACTTCAGCCATTAGCTCTGAACAATAACAGCAATTCCAGGAGCTCGTAGAGGGCGGACTAACAGCATCATGAGCTTTTCTGTTAGGTTTAATCTCGCCGCTTAAAAAGTATAAAGTATATTGTAATCAGTGTGCAGTAACTTAAAAGTTATGTCATAGTGATGTAATATCCAATTCTTCACAAAAACGTTGGAATCAAATTTCAGTCATTCCATGTGTTTCTCAACTTGATCTACAAAGCAGTTGTAAATGAACAATTATATTTCTTTCTTTCCTTTATCGTTTCCTAGTGCCAGAAAGTTGGGGTTTTCAAAAACGATACTTTTGTGGCATGAGAAGGCCTGTGATTTATTTAGTTTTTAATACAAAGTAAGACATCTGAAAGAAGAAAGAAGCTTCAGAAGCTGTGATTTCATATGTTTTGACAGGAGTTGAATAAACCTTTAGATTTACTCCGAAAATCGAGGTTAATTTCAGCTTTTTTGCGTAGAAGAATGCTTTTTCTTTTGATAAACAGAAGTTGTGTTGCGGCTTTTCTCATTTTTTAGTAACTGTTTACAAGCTACAAGTTCTGCATGTCTTATTTTACAAAAAAAAAAAAACTACTGTGGCTGCAAGACGAAACAGAATACCATAGTAATGACACTGCATACCAGGAGAGCGACAGTCTGAGAAGATGGAGACAAATAAGGGAAGAGAGTTTAAAAAATGGACATAGCTGGGGTTTTCTTGGCCGATCCAAAAGTCGTCCAGGAATAATGGCCGACTTGTGCACTCCTCTGCATGCTGATCTTTATGGATTTTATAAAAATACACAGAGAAGGAGCCTCAAACACTCAGAGAGTTTTGACCACGTCTGTGTTTATTCAGGGGCGAGGGAATACTCGTGAACTCTTTCGGGTTCGTTGCAGCTGACTTCTACGCAGCACGCGTTCGACACATGGCTGCGGACGACATGAGTGCAAAGAAAAGATGTGTATCGTTTTTATAAACATTTTCAGAGCATGTGGTCAACATGCATGGCTCAGTGCACTTCTGCAGAACATAAAGCCAGACTGATCTTGATAACAATGATCCCTCAAGAATTTTGTGTAAGCCAATATGTGTAAGCCTTGTCAACGCATATGTTTATGTTTATTTAGCAGAAAAGAGGTCACCAACAGATGACGGCATCAGACTGATGTGGAGGATCAGGAAAATGACACAAAGCCTTTTTTTAGTCTACATACCTTCATTCTCCGTTACAGTTCTGACTGAATGGAAGCTTTCAACATAAGATCAAGCAGCCAGACATTCAGCCTCTTGGAAAGATTTGCAGGTCGGTGCAGCAAGAAGGTGTAACATTTGCCATCAGGATTCAAAAATGTAAAAACCAAGAGGAAGGTACAAGGGAAAGAATCATGCAAAATACTGTTTAGCAAATTTATCTTCTGTGAAAACAACACTCTGTATTCTCCAAAAGACTGAGCTGAGGAGTTTTTATTATAATGGACCAGATAGATTTTCTTGCATCTTTCACAAAAGAACAACAATGAGGCAGACTGCTGACTTGGCTCTGCCTGAAGGCACCTCTGATGTGCTTGCACTGTAAACACTGTACGCTGACACACTTCTGACAACGACAGCTAACCATTAGCAGGGTGAAAATAGACAACCCATTTTCACCCTGATCTCCATATTTTAAGAGTTATGAATATTCAAAAAGCATCTTTGATCAAAAATAAATAAATATGCCTGCCCTAAAATGCTAAACTATTTAAACAAACTCAGTAATAAAAGCCAATAAAATGTCATCAATATTAAAGGTCATTACGCAAACATGTAAACCTCTTCTATTGTATAAACTTTTACTGTAGGAATAACGAATAAAGTTACCACTGTGTGTAAATATTTATTACAATTTCCATTCTTCCATCATCTTTTACCCACTTCTTCCTTTAAGGGCCACGGGGGTCACTGGTGCCTATATATCCAGCAGTCACTGTGTGAGAGGCGGGGGACACCCTGGACAGGTTTCCAGTTCATCACAGGGACAGAAACAAACAATCGTTCACTCTCTCACTCACACCTAGGGACAATTTAGAGTTACCAATCAGACTAAAGGCTCCAGTGTACTCCCGTGTCCTGTCAGCTGCGTGGAAACTGTGCGCAGAGACTTCATGCTCGAGTGTCCACCCTGAGCAGCTGCAGTCAGCTCCACAGACAAGGGGCGTTTACCTTCGGGATAAATTGAGGTCACCGATTGGTCATTTGCTGACACGCCTACTAGATTGATTGACAGGTTGGAGGGAAAAAAAAAACGAGAGCTGGCAGGCAGTCCCAGCCGCAGTGGTGTTTTGTGTTTATATGTTAATAAAAAGTTCTTTAAAAAAAACAAAAAAAAAACAGGGAGCACTGGTCCTGCAGTCCACACATCAGACCAACCCATCAGGAAATCTCCAGACCCTCCTGCAGCCATGCTGGACCTGATTTTAATTTGCTTGTGACAAATTCTTTCATTTCTCACCATTTCAGTCATGGTATCAACAGAGGAGGAAGAGGTTGCTTGCCTTTTGGCAAAATAATCCAAAAAAAGGCCATTAAACCAGATCAGGGATGAAGAAGGGGAATTTAATACATTGGTGTTGCATACAAAACAGTCCATCGCTGGGCAGTTTATTGTGTGACACAGAGTATGCATATGCGGCCGTAAAAATTGAGCTTTGCGCGGACATGCCCTGCGAGGGTACGCTTCAACTCTAATCTGGTAAGCATGGACCTCTGTGGACTGACGTACGCGGGAGTATACTGGAGGCTTAACATGCATGTTTTTGGTCTGTGGGAGGAAACTGGAGTACCCAGAGAAACCCACGGAGCACAGAGAGAAAATGCAAACTCCACCCAGAAAGGCCCCCGGCCGGGATTCGATACACTTAGACCTGTCGCAATAAACAATAAATCAGTTCATCGCACGATAAATGAAAATTATCAACCTCATTTTCATTTATCAGCTTTATCGTTTCTTCGCGTCTCTCTCTTTCTACTGAAGACACTGGATGACAAAAAGCTCAACTCCAGTGCTCTTCACTGATCCCTCCCTTTCTCTTTAAAATCTGTTTTAACTAGGCCTGTCACGATAAAAAAAATTTGCTGGGCAATTGTCTCAGAAATTATTACTATAAATAATAATATTGTTTGAAATTTGACAATAATTAGTAATTATTGTCAAATTTACGAAGAAATGTTGGTTAATTTGTTTTGAATGTAGTAAATTTTTTTGACCACCGGATGGCAGTATAAGGCAGTTTGAACCAAAGGATGGATAGTAAGGGAGCGAGCAACATGTCTGTTTAAGAAAAATGGAAGGGAGGCCCCTTGACGTGACATGGGCTGTCGCTCCTTCCCTTTTATTCGGTTTTCAAAATGGCGGACGCTCGGTGTGGTTTGAGCTCTTTAGCATAGCATTTTTCACACAAAGCTTTTAATAAAATTCAGTAAACATGTTCTGAGCTTCTTTTTGCAGAGAAAAACAACTTTTTACATGAAGGCATGGGTTTCAACCGTGAATCATGGAGCTTCGACAAGACGGAGGTTTTTTCCCCAAGGTCGGCTTGTTAGCTTAGCTCCTAGCTTAGCTTCTCATCTTAGCTGCTTTTAACGTTCCAAAAACGTGATTTTGGACGCTTAAAATAGATTTTAAAAGGAAAAGAGAAAGGGAGGGGTCAGTGAAGAGCACCGGAGTTGAGCCTTTTGTCATACAGTTTCTTCAGTAAAAAGAGAGAGACACATATAATGATAAAGCAGATACATGAAAATGAGGTCAATAATTTTCATTTATCATGCGATTAATTGATTTATTGTTTATTGCGACAGGCCTAGTTTTAACTGTCCAAAATCACATTTTTGGATTGTTTTAAAGCAGCTAAGCTGAGAAGCTAAGCTACAAGCTAAGCTAACAGGTCGACCTTGGGAAAAAACATCCGTCTTCCCAAAGCTCCAAAAATTCACGGTTGAAACCAGTGCCTTTTTGTAAAAAGTTGTTTTTCTCTGCAAAAAGAAGCTGAGAACTGGTTTACTGATTTTTTTAATTAAAAGCTTTGTGTGAAAAATGCTATGCTAAAGAGCTCAAACTACATCAAGTGTCCGCCATTTTGAGAACCAAAAATAAATAAATAAAAAGGAAAGAGAGACAGCCCATGTCACGTCAAGGAGGCCTCCCTCCCATTTTTCTTAAAGAGACATGCTGCTCCCTCCCTCACTATCCATCCTTCGGTTCAAACAGTCTTATATTGCCATGTGTTGGTCAAAAAAAAGTACTACACTCAAAACAAATTAACCAACATTTCTTCTTAAATTTGACAAACATTACTAATTATTGTCAAATTTTCAACAATATTATCGTTTATCGCAATATTTTCTGAGACAATTAATCGCCCAGCAAAATTTGTTATCGTGACAGGCCTAGATCCAGTGACACTTCTCACTAAGAGGTGGCAGCTCTAACAACTGTGCCACATGCCACCCTATCTTACAATTAAAATAATAATAATACTTTCTGATTCTGTTGTGTGTGTGTGTAAAACCATTACACCAGCAGCTGGTGTAGCAGCCAGAAATTTCAAGCAATAATAAGGTTTATGGCTGAAAATGAAAGATGAGAGTAGCATAATTTACCCAAATTTATGGCAACAAGAAACTGGTTGGAATGTTTCTTTTAACGACTAAAACTCCAGCATTTCAACATCTATGCCAAAAAGCCAAAAAAAATTCCCAGATTGCAACATGACACACACTTCCACTTTCAGACTAATTTCATTTGATTGCTTGTTTGTTTGTTCTGTGATTGTCGACTGCACAGCAGGATATAAGGCCGTCACACTGGACCTCCATTAGACCTCCTGCAGCACACTTCAGGCAATCTATTCTGTTATTTCAGCCACCATGAAGTATCTTCATGTCCCCAAAACAGGCTGTTGGCACCATCTGTTGTTTGTTTTTTTACAGATTGGGCTGGATTTCATTATATTCTTTTTACAGTAGTCCCTCACTACTTCGCAGTTCGACTTCCACGGATTCGCTTTTTCATGGTTTTTCAAAAAAAGATTGGACATGACACACAATTGGCTGATTGATGGATGAGCCACACAAGCGGCATGGACTAATTATTTAAAATAAATTATTTTAAATTATTTAGCACCTGCTGCACCTGTGTACAGCCCACAGCTGCAGGGAGAAGCTCCCTCCTGCAGAGTGTCATGATCTCCACTCTCTGCCACGAGGGAGCGTCTGCTGTGTTGTTGTCTTGTGTGCTTCTCTTCTCTTGTACTACTGTCCCTACTTTGCAGTTTTTCACTTACCACGGGGGGAGGGGCTGAAATCTAACACCTGTGATAAACAAGGGTATTGCCCAATGCCATAAAAGGTGGGTGATCATGTACAGTAATCACATATGTTTATTGTTAGTCTGTCGATTAGCAAAACTTCTCATGAACTTAGGGCTGGACAATAATTCAATATCAATATATGTCACGATATACTTTTATTCAATAATGGTGATATGAGTTTTAAACACATTTTCGATATTTCGATATGATTACAGCGTTTCAGTAACGTTTTTCTTTTTCTGTTCAGGTTGAAGCAGCCGCTTCAACCTGGACAGAAAAAGGTGCGACACGACTACATGGGGGAGTGGTGGCACAGAGGTTAGAGAAGGTGGGCCTGTGATCGGAAGATCGTCGGTTCAAGTCCCGGTACTGACAACATCAAAAATTTGGGTGGGGTAGGTGAAGCACCCACACCTACCCCCATCCTCATTCGCCCCACTCTGGGCCCATGAGCAAGGCCCTTAACCCCCACCATCTGCTCCTTAAAACAGGTCTATCTTGAAAATGACTTCTCGTGGCTGAATGAGACTACCTGTATAAATAAAGGGTAAATGAAAAAAAAAAAAAAACATAAGCGCATGGTGACGTAGATGTTATGCAGATCTCAAGTCCAGAAGGAGTTAGCAGTAGAGTTGCACTCAGGTCCAAATAATCTGAACTCTCCCAGCCCCAGCCCGTAGCCATCATCTTCGAACCCCACCAGATCCGACAAATTAACAGTAATTACAGGTACGAACCCGGAAACCCCCCCGACGTTTTTAATTAAGCTTTGACTGCTTATACTATTATTAAGGGTTGGCAGATGTGTGCGACTGAGGAGGCAGAAGATCAGAGCTGAAGAGCAGTCAAAGTGCATTAAATGCTTCCCCTGC